GTTTTCTAACGTCACACACTTTGATTTTTCTCATATCTTAGGCATAATAGGACGTTAGACGATCATGGGTATGATTCTTTCCTCCATTTCCCTTGCAGGATGATCGAACGAGGATACTTGCGCACAAGGCACGGAAAAGGAGCGGAATCGAGAAGTCCCAGATAGCTCAGAGAAAATGAGTGGCCCGCTCGTTATACCGAGCGGTCGCTCGCTGTGACAGCCAAGCAATTGGGCGGTCGCTCACGGAATCAGGCGGCCGCTCTGTGCTAATGCGGAGAACAAGCGGTCGCTGTTACACAAGGCGGTCGCCTCGAGTTGCAAAGAAGAACGAGCGGTCGCTCGTGCACATGAGCGGTCGCTCACCCTGAAGAAAACGAGCGACACTGAAGAGAAAATGGGCGATCCTGAACAAAAAGTGAGCGACCGCCTGATATCAAATCCGGCCCAAAAAGGAAAAGCCCGAGTTTTGAGGAAAAACCTAGTTTTTGCACTTGCACAAAAAGGGGAGTTTGAGGAGAGAGAAGGAGGACTGGACACTTTGGAAGAAAAACACCTTGGAGAGGAGGAAAGGGAGATTTGGAGACCTAGGGAGACATCTTGAAGAAGGAGATCACCATTGAAGACCATATTGAGCATTTCTTCTCCTTTTCTATGTTCTCCCCTTTTGTTTTCTGTTTTGGACCTTTAGATATGGAGTAGTGACTTTGTTGTGGGTGAGGGATATATCCCCACTTTTGTATGGACACCTATGTTTATCTATGATGCTTTTGAGTTTTCTTCCATTGGTTTGATGTTTTGTGCTTAATGTTATTGATTTGGTTGAAACCCTAATTGATATGATTGTAGAACACATTGATCATAGGGATATGGGAATGATGTTTGGAACCAAATGTCAAATGAGTGAGTTATTCACATTGGGAGATGGCTTAGCTTGTTTAGGGTTCATGATGGGGTACATTAATGCATCTAGAGATCATTTGGATCATTGGAAAATGGGTGAATCGATTTCCTAGGTAGTGAGTTTAAGCTCGGGAGAGACAAACTCTAGAGGAAGTGCTTGAAACCCCCAATTGGAAGATAAACCCATAGGCATTGTAGCATCACTAACCGTCCATGCGAATCTTGAGGGATCCCGAACCTACAACGCCTTAAATCATCGTTTTATAAACCGTTAATTTTACTTGCTTTCTTGTATTCCGACACCTACTAGACATGCTCGGCAAGTAGGATATACTCCATTTTAGATCGCAGGAAGCAATGGAAATCCCATTGATAGGTTTTCGCTTGAATGTTGGAGAAGATAGAGTATACCAAAATTGTTCTTTGCTTGTTTTCTGTATATATATTTATATTTTCTTGTGTTATACTTTCTGAAATTCTGTAGATGACGAACAACGGAACTAGTAGCATATCAACTCTGTGACCTTCGTTGTGATCGATCATTGAGCGTGAAAAACTCAATGGGGCGAACTTCCTTGATTGATGTCGCTACTTGAGAATTGTTCACAGAAGCGAAGATAATGAGTACGTTCTCCATGAACCGTTCGTCAATGAGGAGCCACCGAACACTGCACCACAGGCTGTCAAGGATGCTTACTTGAAGCATAAGAAAGACAATCGTGATGTGAGATGCCTTATGCTTGGAACAATGATTCCCGATTTGATCAAACAGTTTGATGGTCTGGGTGTTTGGTTGATGATGGATCAACTTAAGCTCATGTTCGAAGAGCAAGCCCGCTTAGAGAGATTCAAAATTATGTGTAGCCTTTTGAACTGTAAACTGGCTAATGGGTGTTCTGTCTGTCCACATGTACTCAAAATGAAGAGTCATTTTGATGATCTGGAACTATTTGGCGCTAAGATGCACAAGGAGCTTGCGGTGGACATGATCCTCCATTCACTTCCTAATAGTTTTCGATATTTTGTCTTAAATTATGATATGAATGGTATGGACATGAGTTTTACCGAGCTGTATGGGATGCTAATGTCGGATGAGAAAAAAATTAAGACTGAAAAGAGCATCCTTGTCGTGCAATCTGGAAAGAGTTCCAGAAAGCGACACGAGAAAAAAGAAAGAGTAAGGAATCGACAAAGAAGGCAAAAGTTGTCGTGTTGCCGAAGTCCAAACCAGACAAGGGAGAATGCCACTACTGCCACGAGATTAGACACTATCATAGGAAGAACAATCTCTACTTGGAGGATCTGAAGAAGAATAAGCTTGTTGAAGCTTCATGTTCAGGTATCAACGTTATGAAAATTACGTTTTGTCTGCTTCATCCTGGGTATTGGATAGCGGATATGCCTCACACATTTGTGAAAATATGCAGGATCTACGAAGAAGTAGAATGTTAGGAAGATGTAAAGTAATCTGCGCATCGAAAATGGTGGAATGGTTGTTATATTGTGTGTTGGCGACTATGATTTACTTTTACCATCTGGACGTGTTTAGAATTTTTCCCTCTTTTTATCATCTCTTGAGACAGGTTTCAGGGCAACAACTACACACGTGCACACACATTTCTTTATCAAGAGGTTTAAGGTCTTTTCTATTTTTTTTAAGGGTAGAGAGGACATTCCTCAATTGTTTATTTTTTTAGGTATACCCCTAAAATTCATGCGACACAAGTAATATATTTTAGTAAATTGGCCGAATCATTTATGATTGAAGGTTAGTTCGATCAAATTCTTTGTTTTCACCGATCAAGCTTAGTGTAGAGTTTGTAATTCTCTTCTATAACAACAATATATAGTGGATTCCCGACAAATCAGGTCTGGGAGAGAAGTACCGATCTTACACTGAGATCCGGAACTCGTAAAATCAGCTTGTGTTCTTCGTGCGGTCGTTCCATTTTCGTTTTTCAGTGAGATTGAGAGAGTTTACAGTTCGGTGAACAGAAATTCTTTGATTATGTGTGGCTCGTGTAAGCTATTCATCTTTGACCTTATATTTGTTTTTATATTTATCTGATTGATTATTAATTTATTGGAGTGAGCAATTTGGGTTTTATTTTAGTTATACTTAGGTTCGATTATTCCATTTAAAAAAAATTATAA